GGATCAAGAAGATGTGGTATACTTATACAATGGAATACTAGCAATAAACTACTTGTAAAAAAAATAAATAAAAATAAAAATAAAAGAACATGTGGTGCCTGGATGGCTCAGTTTGTTAAGTGTACAGCTTTGGCTTAGGTCATCATCTCACCATCGTGGATTCAATCTTCGCATCCAGCTCTGTGCTGACAGCTCAAAACCTCGAGCCTGCTTCAGATTCTGTGCCCGCCTCCTTCTGCACTTCCCCTGCTCATGCTCGCTCTCCCTCTCTCTCTCTCAAACAAATGAACATTAAAAAAATAAAATATTTTTTAAAAGAACACATTATATCTTTCCATCTACTTCTCTCTGTCATCCTTTTGTATTTTTCTTTTTCTTTTTTTTAATAGTTTATTGTCAAGTTGGTTTCCATATAACACCCAGTGCTCATCCCCACAAGTACCCTCCCCCATACCAAAAGATGGGCTTTTGTATATTTCTTATTTGTTGCCAAGTCTATCTTAGTTTGGGAGGGTTTTTGTTTTCTTTTTGTTTTACAGTGCCTTATTTTTGTTTTAGTTTTGCTATTTAAATGGATCATTTTACTCCATAGTATCTTATCCAACAGAAGAGACCACCTTACAAGTGGATGCTACTTTACTATCCCAGCAGGAGGAGACGGTTTCCTGCGCAGACAAGAAAGGTCAGCCAATGAGAACTCACCACGACTCCTTTTACTCCAATGAACTTTTTGTTTATAATAGCCTTCCCAAACCCCTCTTCTGTATACAAGAGTGATCCACTTTGTTCTGAGGACTAGCCTGTGGTTTTTTCCTGGCTTGCTAGTCCTGCAGTGCAATTCCTTGATATTCCAGAACAAAGCCATTTTGGTCGGTAAAATAACTGGCAGTTTTATATTTAAGGTTCACACTGAGCACTTGAAGATCAAGCTTTTGCCTTTTTAAAGTCTCCTGTTTCGCCTGGGTAGCTCAGTTGGTAAAGCTTCTGAATCTTGATTTCAGCTCAGGTCATAATCTCATAGTTCCCTGGGTTGGAACACCATTCCCACCCCCATCAGGCTCTGTGCTGCCAGTGCTGAGCCTGCTTGGGATTCTCTCTCTCCCTCTTTCTCTGTGCCTCCCTGCTCATTCTCACCTCTCTCTCTCTCAAAATAAATGAACATTAAAAAAAAAGTCTCATGCTTCTTTGAGCAGCAAAGCCAACAACAGGGACCACACAGATGCTCCTGCACAAGATCTACTAGCAACTCTGAGCTGACCGGTCAGGGTAGAAGCACCACCCAAAACATCTGCAGGCGCACAGATGGTCTCCCAGTTTCTAAAAAATCCCCCACGCTTTCACTGTTCCCTCTCCTCTCAGCACCGTTCTTGCAGGAACCTGAGAGGTTTGTGGGCCCTTAAAGTTCTGGTCGGACTTTCCCTCATGACAGCAGGGGGCGCAGTCCACTTACCTGGGTGACCTTGCCTGGAGTCTTAGTCCTTCCCTGGTAGGAAGGCTTACTTCATGTACAGGAAAATCATGTTATGTTTCTGTGATCAAAACTTAGTAAGGGCCAGAAACACTCTTCCCATTTAATCATCCGAAAACCAGAGCCTACTCACCCTGTGGGCCCACTGTCCTGTATTTGTTGCCTCTGTTTTATGCAAAATACTTGAATTTTTTCAGCTTTTTTTTTTACTTATGCCTTCTCTTGACTTTAAAAAATATATATATACAATGCTTCAAAATTTTGCGTGTCATTCTTGCACAGGGACCATGCTAATCTTCTCTGTATTGTTCCCATTGTAGTGTATGTGCTGCCAAGTGAGCACTACTTCTGATGACTTTTGGACCTACATTATTTAAATGTGCCTATTACTCATGAATGCCACTTCTACTTTTAGTTTAAGAATTCGACCCCTGAGTTCTAATATACTTACCATTCCAATTGTTGGGTTTAAATCTTTGAGCCGTGTAGATTTTATTTGGTGTCTCTACATATTCTCATCAGACAAACTTAATTACATGGTTGTTCCCTGAATGTAGTACGATATTCACTATATATTAAGGGGTCATACAGCTCTTGCCAGAAGTGGATTTTACAAGGAAGGGGACAGATGGGCCGAGGAGAGCCTTCCAGAGCCTGATAAAAGCCTGATAGAGCAAAGAATCCTTGCCAGGACACAGGACGGCTAGATGCACCCTGCAGACCTGCCGTCGGCTCAGGGCTCCAGACTCAGCCTGAGCGGCAGGACGCTCGGCGCGATCTCCCGCCCGGCGCGTCCCCCACCCACGCCCGCGCGCGGAAGGGAAGAACTGCCCGCGCGGGGGAAACTTCTTGACAGACACGCGCTGGACTCAGAGCAGCCAATCCCCGCGGGGTGGGGCGGGAGCATCCAGGAGCCGCGTTCGGCCAATGACTGACACACACAGCTCGCCCTACGCTCCGCCCCATCGGGCCCCTCCTGACCGCCAATTGGCGGGAGCTCTTTGGTTGCAGCGCTGATTGGTGGCTTCGCCTGACGGGGCGGTACAAGTGGGTATATCGCCCTCGGCTGTCTCCAGTCTCAGTCAGGAGGCAGCGCGGGGGCTCCGGAGAGGCGTCCAGACCGGTCCGGCGAGAGGGGGGCCAGGTAGACCGACGAAAACACCGAGGACTTTGCCATGCCGCATGAAACCTGATTTCTGAGACGTTCACCTTTACCCAGGGTAAACCCTGATTCTGAGACCTTCAAATCCCACCTGGGAGACCTTAGATCCCCGCACCCTGAGAGGCTCCAAAGCCCCTCAGCCTCAAAGGACACCAAATCCCCTAACTTCATGGAACCTCACATCTCCTCAGCGTTAGACCCCAAAGGAGCTCGGCTGCAGAAACCTCATATCGCATCACCCAGAGAAACGCTAAATCCCCCAATTCTTAGACCCCCAAGTATCCTGAGTAACGCAAGTTGCCCTCAGCCTGAGACACTCCCGAAACCCTCAGCCTGAGGAGCCTGAAATGGAGCACCCACAGAGAGAACAAATTTCCCCAACCTCAGAGGCCCTGAACAACCTCTGCCTGTGAACTCTTAAATCCCTTCAGCATCAAATACTCCAAATAACCTCAATGCCAGAAAACCTAAAGCCCATTACTAAAAGACTTGAAATCTCCTCAGAATGACACTTAAAATTTCCTCACTCTCAAAGATCCCAAATCCTCTCAACCTGAGCATCCTAAATCTCTTCAGTCAAAAAGACCCCAAATCTTGTCCTGAGAGACTGCCAATATCCTCATCCTGAGGCCCCAAATCCCCTTGATGTAAGAAACCCCTGACCCTGACCCTAAACCCGAACCTGAACCCGAACATGAACCCTAACCCGAACCGAACCCGAACCCCAACCCGAACCCTGACCCCAACCCCGACCCTAGCCCCTGACCGTGACCCTAACCCCTGACCCTGACCCTAGCCCAAGCCCTAGCCGTGGCCCGAACCCGAACCCTGAACCCGAACCCGAACCCTAGCCCGAACCCTAGCCCAGCCCTAGCCCTAGCCCTAGCCCTAGCATTCTGCCACAGCCTAACCCTAGGCCTGCCCCTCAGCTTCCCTGGGACCCTGCACCCGAGCCCGCCCCGTGCATGGGCCCTCACTTCAGTTCCCCCAGGAGATCCCGGCACTGCTTCTGCTTCGGCCCTGGCCTCTCCCCTGCACGTCGCCCTAACCCTCGTCTGAGCCTCTGGCTCCATGGGGAGGCAAGTTTTCTCTCCAAGACCGGCTCGGACTCGGGGCCACGAATCATTGCAGGCTGTTCCAGCATGGACGGTCGAACATTGCCAGCCTATTGTCCGGGGCCAGACACGGCGGCACCATGGCTTTCTGGATGCCCCACCATAGCCAGGTCCCTCGAGGAGGCGGGCCCTGGAACCCAAACACTAAGGCTGGCCGGCATCCTGCCACCTGCCCTCAACTCAGCTGTCCAGGTGGGCCACCACTGCTGGCGGATTGGGTCCTGGAGCATCCCGGGCTCGGGCCCTAACCCTAGTCCTAGCCCTCGGCCACACCCTAACCCTAGCCGCGCCCCTCAGGCTCAGCTGAAGCCTACACCTGAGCCAGCACTGCGCAGGGGCCCTCATTTCAGACCTCCTGGGAGATCACCGCACTGGTGTGGCTTCGGCCCCAGCAACTCCCCCCGACACGGCTCTAACCCTAGCCATTGCTCTGTCCCCACGGGGATCCACGTCCTCGCTCCTTATATTGACTGTTGGCAAGACATGGTCCTGTCCCAGCCACCTTGGCTAAAAGTCTGTATTGAAGAGAGCAGTAAAGTAATCATGATGCCTCATGGCTTCATCCAGATACCAGCCAGGGGTTAAAAAGCCCATACAGTCAGGAGAACCTGAAGACTCAGCCAACCAGCGGATGATTAATGCGGCTTTCGTAGGCCAGGCCCAGGGAGATATTCAGCGCGAGCTGCAGAAACTAGAAGGTTTCACTGGCATGAATATCAGTCAATTGCTAGAAGTAGCAACCCAGGTGTTCGTTAACTGTGACCAGGCAGCATGGAAGGAAGAACGCCAAAAGATGCGGAAACAGGCAGATTTGTTAGCTGCTGCCTTGGCAGAGCAGTCAAGACTCCCCCAGAAGAAAGCCCCGCAGGGAAAGGGCCAAGGCCAGAAAGGAGAGCAGCGGGGAGGAGGGTCTCGCCCTAGATCAAAACTAGGCTGGAATCAGTGTGCTTTCTACCGTCAGGAGGGCCACTGGAAAAGTGAGTGTCCCCAGCGACCAGACAATTTTCAGCAAGATCCCAAGGAGAAAAAAGGGTCCATGCGGTCCAGGGCCGGTACCAGTCAGTCCCGCAGCCTCACGGGGCCCCCAGGAATGATTTTGTGGGGCTAGCCGCCATGGAGGACTATGCGGAGGACTAGGACAGACCGGGCTCTATTTTGCTAGGCCCCTGGGAGCCCATGGTCAGAATGAAGGTGGGGGGCCGACCCATTGACTTTTTGGTGGATACTGGAGCAGAACACTCAGCAGTGACCCAACCCGTGGGCCCCCTCTCACGGAGACAAGCCACCAACGTGGGGGCCACAGGCGATCAGATACGTCGTCCCTTCCTGTTACCTCGACGATGCAGTTTAGGTGGCCACGAAGTCATCCATGAATTTCTGTACCTCCCTGACTGCCCCGTGGCTCTAATGGGCCATGACCTACTGGGAAAACTGCAGGCCCAGATAACTTTCAACTCCCAGGGACGGGCTGCTCTGATCCTCCGAAAACCGGAGGCAAAGATTAGGACTCTCACGATTCCCCAGGGGGAGGAATGGCATCTCTATAGCCTAAGAAAAAGCTGCAATTGGTGCCTGAGCTTCCTTTTAAGGTCCCAGGGGTGTGGGCTGAAGATAACCCCCCAGGACTGGAGCAAAACATACCCACTGTGGTTGTTGAACTAAAGCCTGGGGCAGAGCCCACCCGCCAGGGACAGTACTTCATCCCTCGAAAGGCACAGGTCGGGATCCAAAAGCACCTGGAAAGACTTTTAAAGTATGGGATCCTCAGGCTTTGTCAGTCTCCTTGGAACACACTCCTCTTGCCTGTTCAAAAACCAGGCACAGATGATTACCGGCCAGTTCAGGACCTGAGAGCAGTAAACCAGGTGACTGTCACCATCCACCCAGTGGCCCCGAACCCCTATACACTTTTGGGGCTCATTCCTGCTGAAGCCACTTTCTTCACCTGTTTGGACCTTAATGATGCCTTTTTCTGCATCTGCCTGGGCCCCCAGAGCCAATTGATTTCTGCCTTCCAATGGGAGGACCCTAAAAATGGTGACAGGGGCCAATTAACCTGGACTAGGTTACCTCAAGGGTTCAAAAACTCCCCAAGCATTTTTGGCACTGCATTAGCCTCTGACTTAGAAGCCTTCCCTAAGATCAATATGACTGTGTCCTGCTTCAGTACGTGGATGACTTGCTATTAGCTGGGAAGTCCCGGGAGGGTTGCATGGAAGGGACTCGGCAGCTCCTTACCCTCCTATGGAAAGCCGGCTACAAGGTCTCAAGATAAAAGGCCCAGATCTGTCAAGAAAGGGTTAAATATCTTGGCTTCCACTTATCTCAGGGGCATCGTCAGCTCAGCCAAGAGAGAAAGCAGGCCCAGAGAGAAAGCAGGCCGTTTGCTCAATCCCGACTCCCACAACCTGGCGCCAGGTTCAAGAGTTTCTCGGGGCTGCAGGTTTCTGTAGGATCTGGATACCTAACTTTTCAGTCCTGGCAAAACCCCTCTATGAGGCTACAAAGGGGGAAGAAAGGGAACCCCTGATGTGGGAGTCAGTGCAGCAAAAGGCCTTCAAGGAAATAAAGTGTGTACTTACTAATGCGCCTGGTTTAGGGCTCCCAGACATGACCAAGCCCTTCTTTCTGTTCGTCCATGATCGCACTGGTATTGCAGTGGGAGTCCTGACTCAGATGTTGGGATCATGGCATCGCTCGGTGGCATCTCTCTCCAAGCAACTTGACTCTGTGGCCCAAGGCTGGCCCCCCGCCTACAGGCACTAGCAGCCACAGCCCTTTTAGCGTCTGAGGCTGACAAGTTAACTATGGGACAGGAATTAACAGTCCGAGTGCCACATTCGGTATTAACATTAATGGAATACAAAGAACAATACTGGCTCACCAACGCCAGGATGGTCAGGTATCAGGGAATGCTATGTGAGAATCCGCGCATTCACCTAGAAGTAGTGCGGACCCTGAACCCTGCAACCCTATTGCCTGTCGGGCCAGGCCAGCCAGACCATGACTGCATTGAAGTCATGGATGAGGTGCTCTCCAGCAGACCAGACTTGCGGGACCAGCCTC